ACACACACATATACATATATACACACATACATATCCACATAGAATGCACATTTTTTCAAGGTCCAATTTGTCCGATATCATCGTGCATTCTCCCGGGCCTACAGGCCCCAAGCCTGTTCAAGCATGCTGAGGCATGCCATGTGGTGGCTTGGCAGCACCGGCTGCACTCGTTGGGTCAAGGAAGCAGCTGTTTTCTTCCGGCTGCTTATGTCTGCTTGCTCTGTGGATGCCCTGGGCATCGTGTGAGTGTGACTAGCTTCCGAGATTCCGAGGAATGCAAAGGGAGACAACGCGATCCATTACCCGGTGTTCATGATAGCGCAAGAGTGGCGTGAGTGGGTTATGGACAAGTTTCAGAGTCTTGCATGCAGCCATCTGTCCTTGGTGTCTGTGCTGCGAGCCTCATGATTCAGCCTGCAGGGACAGGACTTGGCTTGGGAACTGCAGGCATATTGAATTTCCAGATCTTCGGCACAAGGAATGCATCGCTCAGCGGATTGCGTGGATAAGTGATGCCAGGGAGGTTGGCAGGCGCGGATGGACTGTGTGTTGTTGGGCGTCTTTCCTGCGCAGCTTGGCAGTGTTTTGGCAAATCCCACTGCATCCAGGATGGAGATAGTCCAGCTGCGCTATTCAACTGGCTGGGCTGGGTGCCTAGCATCCAGGCTCCTGCCATTTTTGTCAGTGCAAGGCACGCCCTGATAAGGATGAATCTGCCGAGCTGTCTTTATTGCAAGTTCTCCGTCAGATTGGGCGAGAACTTCGCAGCATCCATGCCTCTTGCTTGTCCCTTCAGGCTCTGAGCTTTCATAGGTTACACGGTTACACGTGGTTGGTGATCACCTGGGCCTAGCAGTGGCAGCCATAAAGAAATTTGATTGAGGACAAGTGGCGATACTTCCAGCTGCAGCAGGGATTTGCCAGACAAGCAGGGATTATTTGTGGATTCTTGGTCCAGCTAATACGCTGTGGTGTTCGCTTCTTGCACAAGCTCCTCAACCAGCAGCTTGGGGGCAAGATGCCGGAGCCGGGGCGCAGGCAAGTTGGTTGTAGCTGTCTCAAGGTTTTTTTGCTTCGACCCACTCACGAGTTCTCCAAGATCTGTCTCGGCCTAGGGACGAGCTCCGGTTGAAGGATGCTGCTGAAGGCATTGGCAAAGATCCAGGCTATTGCTGCTGCTTCGGGATCCACAAATGGTATGCCAACTCACTGTACACGCAGGCCAGGAACTTGTCGGGGCCGTTTGCCTGTTGCGTGTGCTGGAACTGACATAGGTTGTTCGGATGTGTCATTCCCAGCTTCCTTCGTCAGTTCACCGTCCCATACTTTATTGATGATGCAGGGCTCAGGAACAGGACATGGAACAGCCTCGTAATTATTCCCTGGCAGATTGGAGACCCCCACATCAACGGCATTTGTCCTAACCGCGTCTTTCTGTTGGGATTGACCCCGGTTAACCATGTCTTTTTCGCACGCTTTTGTGCTTATATTTGGGAGTTTGGGCTTCCGGGTCTAAGGTCTCGGCGTGTTTTGCTAGCTGCGTCTGTGTGTTTGTTGCTAACTACGTCTTTTCCCTTCCATCTACGGTTTGGGGTTTGGGGTTTCGAGGTTAGGGTTTGGAGTTTAGGCTCACGGGTTCAGGTTTGGGGCTTAGGGTCTACTCTTTGGGATTTGTGGTTGTGGGTTTGGGAATCACGGCTTGAATCTGGGGTGTAGAATACGGTTTGGGGTTCGGGACTGATTCGGGTTTAGGGCCTAGGGTTTGTTTGGGTCTTTGTCTGCGCAATCCCGGGTTCACGCTCTTGCGGGGGTTTGGGAACAAAGGTTTGGGGTTTCGGCCGTAGACGTAGACGTTGCAGTGTGGGGGTGAGGGTCCCCAGGTTAGAGTCTGGGGCTTTGGGGTTTAAGGATGTTTATTTAAAAGTTGGGGGTTTATCGTTTTGGCTATTTGTGGTTTGCACGTTCGGGGCTCTGGGCATTCGGGTGTAGGGTTTCGAATTTGCGGCTAGATCGGGTCTAGGGTTTAGTGTGTGCTAAACGAAAGCGCGCTTTTGTGGGTGCAGGCTTACCCACCCCAAGGCCACCCACTTACAACTCCCAGGGCATGCGGCTCTATATGTCGCGCAATTAAGGCGAGAATACCTGCATCAAGGAGTGCGTTTGCAGCGCCGGATCTTTGCAACGTTGTTACTGAAGTTTTCCGTGAAGGCTGCATTGTGGCGAAGCCTGGCCAGGCCAGCGCGGCTCCGGGACAGTAATTTCCTAAGAAAGCCTGCGCATGGCATTCGAAATCCTAAGTTGACGTCTGTGCCAGGAAGGTGCTAGGAAGCGCGTTGCCATGGGGAAAGCGATGTGCTGCTACGCTTGTGGTGTGACTTCACACGCCCCGTTTTAACTTCAGGCGTTCCCGCTTGACTATGCGGTGTCGCGACTTTACGGGCCCTGGAGCGACATAACGCTACCCCTTGCAGTGCACACTAGTGCAGCCTCTCTCGCGAACGGGTTCCTTGGCCACGAGGGCATTCAAGTGGTTGGCCAAATCCAGCGACGAGCACTGCTTGTGCTGTGTTTGCCATCCGTGGGACTCAGCTCAGGCAACAGAGTGGGATGTTCTCCCCTACGTTTCCTCTCTGCTGCTTTGGAGGCCCGAAAAGATGGGTCGAGCTGCTACACAACTTGCCCACGGCTCACCGAACCCTCCATAAGCCAGACTGCCGTGAGCACAACCGGCAAGACTGGGATCCGATTCGCCTGCTGCGAAGAGATCGCGCTGCTCCCCAGGCTGTGTGACACTCTTGCCTTCGCTTTCAAGAAGCACACGAAGAGGGTTTGCCCGCTGTTGCACCCTTGAGTGGCAGTTGATGGCCCAGCTCCGAGGAGCGACGGCGAGCCTTCGCTCACCCGCTGAGAGGAGATGGTGGCGGAGGTTTTGGCGCCGAACGCCAAAGACATCCTTCAGGATATCAAGGAGCACCTCCGTAAGATGTTCTCTCGTGGCCGCTGTCGTGGCGCGGAGGTTAGGCTCATGGCCCCCTCAGGCCCCGACAACCGAGGCTGCTGCCCTACCCGGCCCTACCCTGTGCATCTCTGGAGGAAGCAACCATGCCTCTACGGTATGCCGCCTTCATCACCTTGTACCACTGCTTCTGGGACGCCTGGGTGGCATGCACTTTTGCCTTACGGGAGGAGTGTTATGAAGAGCTTGGGAGAAAGCACCGCGGCCTTGGCATCCCTCCAACTATGGCATCTACCACGGCTGCCTCTCCCTCTCTGGGCCATGCTGCAACGCCGACACTCTGGACCATGAGCGGTTTGAAAGGAGCTTGTCGAGCTCAGAGGGTGGAGGCCAGCAAACGGGGCTGACCCACCCACAGCAGTAGGAAATTGAGACCGTAAAGGACCCCGGCGGGCAGCGGCCCCGTCGCTCACATCTTCGGCTCAAGTGAAGAGTGGGTGAGACGTGGGTGAGATTAGCCCTGCGTGTCGGGACTTTTCAAGGCTACAGCTTTTGAGGTGGGAGGGCCAACAATTATTGAGGGGGGCTTATAATTGAGGAGATCGCCCGCTTGCTAGTACTGGATTGATTGACTTTTTGCTACGGGAATAAGAAGGATCTTTATGAAGGAAGGCATGGTTTCTGCAGCCATTTACATCTGCGGTTTTGGATTCCCCTGGAATCTAAAGCCAAGCTTGCCCAATGAACGGCTTGGCTTCTAAAGCTTGGTTTCCCTTCCTGGGTGCTGCCGGCACCACCAGAAGGCTCTCCCCGGGGTGGGTTTGCAATTCAGGGGGTTTGTAATTGAGGAGAAGGCCGGCTTGTTAGCATTCCATCAGGAGGGATTGATTGTTTTGCTCCGGGAACAAGGAAGGAGTTTTATGAAAGCAGGCTTGGTTTCTGCAGCCCTCTAATGTGCGGTTTTGGATTGCCGTGGCTTCTAAATCCAAGCTTTGCCAATGAACGGCTTGGCTTCTAAAGCTTGGTTTCCTTTTCCTGGCTGCTGCAGACGGCCTGTCAGTACTCCACCAGAAGGGATTGATTCTTTGCTCCCGGAATAAAGAGTTTTATGAAGGAAGGCATGGTTTCTGCAGCCCTCTAAATGTGCGGTTTTGGATTCCCGTGGAATATAAAGCCAAGCTTGCCCAATGAACGGCTTGGCTTCTAAAACTTGGTTTCCCTTTCCTGGGTGCTGCAGGCACCACCAGAAGGCCCTCCCCGGGGTGGGTTTGCAATTCAGGGGTTTGGAATTGAGGAGAAGGCCGGCTTGTTAGTATTCCATCAGGAGGGATTGATGTTTTGTTCCGGGAATAAGGCTTTTATTAAGGATGGCACGCGCTAAATCTGCATCCCCCTGCTCCGTCATATCTTTGGTTGAATCATGTTGAATCAAAGCTCTGCAGTGCTGTTCCTCTCGTTGCAATACTGCAGCGGTCGCAGAAATTGCAGTTTCTGTGTGCTCCGTCCTGCCTCGGATTGAGGCAAAGCTTTGCAGAGCTGTTCCCCACTCCCTGCAATGCTGCAACGGTCGTAGCAATTGCAGTTTCTCACTCTCTGCAATGCTGCTGCGGTGCCTGTAGTTACAGCTTCTCTCTGCTCTGTCCTGCCTCTGATTGAAGCAAAGTTTTGAACAACCGATGCTACAAACCAAAACAAAAAGCGGCTAAAAATAGGTTTCATCATTGAGGGAGGGTTTTTCATTGAGTTCTGGGGGTCGAGATTTGCAATTGAGAGGGGTTTATAAATTCCAAGTCAACATCATATTCTTCAGTCTTCAAGGTTCGGGTTTGGGGTCGATTGGTTCGGGTTCGCATGTCGTGTCCAGAAGCAACAGGCACCGTTGACCAACACGGAAGGAGCGAACGACGAATTCAGCGAGTGCTGCTACAGGCAACCGGAGAATAAACAGTTAACGCCCAAAGCTTGTCAGATTGCAGCGTGGGCCGACGATGTGAGCCTGTGGGCTACTTGTCCCAACACTTTGAGTGGCATGGTAAGCCTTTCAAGTCTTTGCAGTTTGTCCACTGCATGTGAAGTGGGGTTCTTGCTGCTGATCGTGTTCTGAGTGGAGTCCTGAAGGCACATCTTAGGGCTGCGCTGCCTGATGTGCTGTTGCCTTTCTCGGCCATTTAGCATCTCCAGGAAAGTCGATGCGGCTGAGACACAATCTTTGTCAATTTTTTAATCGGGCAGGCTTTGGCTGTCTGATGATGGGTCCAGCCGTGGAAATCTAAGGATCCGACATTTCCGGTTGGATATCTTGCTCGTTTCTTCAACGAGACTGGCTGCAGAGTTGGAGCTGCTCGAGTGCCGGTACCGCGTAATTCAGACTGGTTACTGGTCTTTCCACAGCTAAGGACGACAAAGTGAGCGAAATCGAGGCAGCTGAGCTCGTGTCCCTTTGGTAGCCTAGCCTCCTCGCTTTGCTGCCTCCTTCTCCGAACTCCCGTACCTCTGTGCCCTGGCCCGTTTTGTCGGAGTGTTTCTCCTTCGAGCACTTTTCTGACGGTCAGGCGAACGTCTCGCACCTTATCAGGAAGCCTGCCGTGAGCCCTTTTGCCACTCGGCTGGGGGAAATGGGTTGGTAGAAGTGGAGACGATGGTTTCTCCAATTGCAGTGCAACTTCAGGCTCCGTGGAATGAAGATGTCATGAGCCCAGACGAGAAGAAGCTGGCCGACGATGTGTTGTGGGGACTGAAGTCAGCAACTCGCTGGCACAAAGTTGTCTTTAAGCAGCACCAGCGAAAGAGAGAGGAGTGTCACGGAGAGGGGTCCTGAACTGGGCTGCACGATGTGAGGAAGCGTTTGGACTGGAGGAGTCCTTGAGTGTGGTGTCTCTTTGGTGAGTTGAAACTAGAGATGGCAGCGCCTTGAATCTGCAGGGCGTGTGAATCGAATCAACTGGTAGGTCTTGCGTGACCAAGTCCTCTGGCAGGATCGTAACCTCAGAGTGATGGTTCAAAGGAGCGCAACGCTCTTTACAGAGCTGAAGTGTCTGACAGATGCCTGTCTGCATGATCTGAGAGGCAGCGAAAGCTTTGTTGCTTTGCGGCTTTCTGGTGTTCCAAATCTGGTGCTTGACTTCTGCAGTTCAGGAATGTGCCATGGTACTCCAGTCCCAACCTCAGAGATTACCAAGACGGTAATCTAAAGAAAGGATTGTGACAAGCTTTTGATGCTGGCTTTTTGGTCGTCGTGTGGAGATGCAGTTGTACGGAGAAGTTCAGTGGCCAATACCTCAGACAGTTGATGGCACAGAGAGTTGATGTACAAAACCTGTGCGGGACCCCTGTCCTTGCAATTCAGAATGCACGAATCGAGTGAATGGGCCTGCAAGTGCTGCATGAGTTGAGAGTTGTCTAAGCTGATCTACAACGCATCCGCCCCGCATCTGCCCCGAACTCAATAACAAAAGAAAAAGAGACAGCATGTCCTCCAACGCCGCAAGGACGTTGATGACATTCTCTGGGCTTGGCGGCTTTCCAACTGCATCCAACGAGATGCCCGGAGAGATTGCGATGCATATATGCAGCTCAGGCACATTGTTCTTGACCAACAAACTGAGCTCTCAGCATGTCGTCGAAGTGATGGAGTTCGTCTGTGCCCGGCCGAGATTGGGCCGAGATGTGTCATGGGCAGTTTCGGCCATCCCCTCTTTTCGTGCCCCTCTTCTCGCCGAGGCGGGCGCGTCAAGGCAGCTGAAGCTTGTCTGTATCAAGGCCTGTCATAAGCTCAGCTATTGTGCTGTGGGCAAAGCTTAGGAGAATGACGTCATCGCCATTGGCGACATTGCAGAGGCCATCCGACACAAGAGACGAACCCATGGGCCCCTCATCCTACGAGGCCGGCTGGTCATACCTTCGCCGCACCGGCGTGGAGTCGATGTGGTCCAACTCGAGCCCGGCCGCTCTCTTCAGAAGCTTCGGTCTTCCCAAGCTGGAGCTTGTGTTGGTTTCGGAAGCGAATACTCGAGCTAGGTTGACAATGCACGGCTGGGTCTTCGCGCCGGGCCCTCGCACCGCTGCCGAGGGGCTCGGTTTGCACCAGTGACGTTCCCTGCTTGTTTGGGAAAAGGTAAGAAGCGACATGCATGCGATCGTCAAGGAAGTCAGGTACTATTGCCAGGGCGTGCAGGCGCGATTCGCGAGGGGGGGACGAGGGCGTTGCTGTATGTCCGTCCTTGCCAGGCCGAAACAATTTCAGCTGCCGAAATGCAGCAAAATGAAATCGAGCAGCTCGCAGGGATGTTTGGGACCAGTCGGTGAAATCTCATACACCTGTTCCCGGTACTGACAGCCCATAGACGCGATGTCGGGCCTCGCACTGAGGGAAGAGATCACACAAGAAGTCAACTTGTACGAACGACTCTGGAAAGTCTTGGACCTAGCTCTGTGCCACATATCTCGGTGAACCTCATCAGATGCCGTGCGTATGTCGTTTGACTGAAAGCCCTCTCAGATCGTCCATTCACGCTTCGACAAGACTGGCGAAGGAACTGCTATTCATATGCACAACTGGAAAACTGATGCTTGGCCCCAGCAGTGAGACAAGTTGAGACAACAATTGCTGTTAGTGTGGCGACTGGAATAGCTTGACTGAGGACGAGTTGTACATTGAGGGTGAACATGACCTGTCTTTGGTCTCCACACACGTGTAAGCCAAGCAGGACGTAGGAGCCGATAGCGTTTCACGGGGCCGAAAAGGGCCCAACCTGCGAGTGAGTGCATGCAAGGCGCAACGGCTGCAGCTGTTCAGACGGCTGGCTTGCGGCTCTGTGCAATTCAGGGGCGGGGTCACGCAGAGCAAATGCTGCGGACCTGAGCCGACTGGAGCACCACGGTACCCACTGCTGAGTAGCAGGTTTGCCGTGCTGCCTGCTTCGCAGTCGAATTACTGAAAGTTTTGTTAGGGGATGGTCCCAACAGTCCTAGTTTGAGCGTGGAACTTGAACACCCGAGACAGGTGCCGTCATCAGCATGAATTTTGTGTGGTGTGATGATCGGCTGGACTGCTGCAAGCAGGACAAAAGCAGGAGGATGCTTGCCCACCCGAGGTGGCAGCAGCTTTCAGGAGCAGATCAAAAAGCTGCGTAGATCGCCATCATGCATCGAGTTTTCAAACATTCCGCGAGCCCAGATGTCCAAGATTGAATCCGTCGACGCAGGCTTGGTTGCATTTCGGCAACGGCTGGGGAATCATCGATGCATCTGGTCGTTCCTTATACGATACAGATCTCCACGCGCTGGCAGGAAGCTCAGTTGCTCGGGGGCTTTCTGACGGTTTGAACCGTGAACTGGATGGATCGCAGGTTCGCACTGCTGTGATTTGTTTCTGCCCCCAGCTGTTCTGCACAGCAAGAACTGCCAGAGTTTTGCGCAATGAAACAGAGCGAGGTGCAGCACAGGGGCACCCACTGCGCGAATTAAACCTGAGCCAGTGCCCCAGCATTCTCCTCGACCAATCCCTTATCCTGCCGGGGGTACAGTCCTGCACGAACAGGTCTGGGAGGCTGTCTTTGCAAAGTTCTGGCCGTTTCTGGCAGGTAAGGGATGGTAAGGGCAGTTTGCGCTGGCTGAGGTGGCAATAAGATGACAGATGCAGGGTTCCAAGAGGCTGGGTCCTGCATGGCCGATCGCAATTTCTGCACCTGTTCCAAGAAGGTGCTGGCGCTGCTGCAGCAGTTCCGATCGCATGTGGGCAGGGAGGGTCAAGGCCCTCTGCGGCTCGATCTCGGCCTTCGAATTAGTGCCCCTGGAGCGTTCACTTGAGAGAGGCCGTACGAGATGGCAGAGTTCTGAGTCTTGCGAGCTCGAGGCTGCTAGCATCCTAGTTCAGGTGTGAAGGGCGCTTGTCCTATCTGGCGAGGAAGCAGATGGAACCCTGCAGCTGGAGTCTCTCAACGTGGCTTCTCGGCCGTGTTGTTCTCAGGTCGCGACACTAACCGTAGTCACCGTAATCTCGTTGCAAGGCATCCAACACAATGCTCCACTTCCGAGAGGCTGGCCTTGTTCAGTCGGCAGCTTGGTCTTGTGCATCTTGCTTTAAGAGTTGCTGTCAGCTGCCTGTGCTCCGCTTCAGGGAAGGAGATTGAGAGCAAGAGTGAGATTGAGAGATCAAGGTCGCTGCCTACATCTATTGCATCTCTGCCAGTTTCTCGGTGCCTCATTAGAGAAGCCATGCGTCCCGAGCGACATACTCCAAAGGACTGCTTTGACTGCCTTGGACATCTCCTTCGTGCCGTTTAACGGCAGAATTGCAGTGAGCCGCGCGCCTGCAGGTCAGAGTTGACGGGAGATTGATGGACTCTGTGTGACACTCAGGCCTCGCACGCTCGCTGGCAAAGTCCTGTGCAGTGCTCCGGAGTTCGGGGCCTTTGGGGCCTAATGGGGCCTGCTCTTGTTTTCACTTTCCCGGCCTTGAACTTCAGACCTGAGCCTTGCGGGCTGCGGCTTGGGCTTGTGCGGGCAGGCCGTCGTGACCTCAGGCAGAGCCCTCCCCGTGAGGCCGTGAGGCATCCCGGAGACTCAGGATTGTGTCGCGCTTGCATCTCTTCTTGGTGACTGCTCGCAGCCCGAAGAGGCACCTCATGGGTGGGCGAGCACCTGGTATCGTTTTGGTTGAAGCACATGCGAAGGTTTCTAGTATTCGCGAGATTTTTGGGTCTCAGCATCGGTAAAAAGCCCTTCCTAATTTGCGCTTCGCGCTGTTCTTGCTTCTTGCCCTGGCATGTCCTAGTGCGCACGAACAAGTTAGGCTTGGAGTGCGGTTGGCGCAGTTGAAACGGATTCTGATTGAGAGGCCGGCTTCCAGGGCCTCGAACGCCGAGCCCACAGTGGCATGCACAAGGGGAACTTTGGCAACCCTTGCTCGGAACCCCTGGGCCCTGGGCTCCCGTCTCAGGTGCCGACTTCTCCGGGAACTTCTTCGGTGGTGCGGGCTTTGCTGCTGCAGCGATGGCTGTGGGGCGCTCCAGGTCGGACGGGCCTGCGATGCATTCTTTGCATCACTCTTGATGGTTGCTTTGCTACTGGCTCAGGATCCGGAGCCTCGCGTTCGCCGGGAACAGCAACCCACCCTCCAGTGACATGAGCCCTGCGGAATGGTCCGCCCTCCTCCTCCTCAGGCCAGGGGTCGCCAGGCCTTTGTCGTTCTGCCAGATGCCTGCCGTCAGGCAGCGATCTCCAGAGAGAGAGGTGGACAAAGTGCGAGCCCTCGTTGCTCTTTCGAGAGCTTCCCGAGGTTTCCTGATACCTGGTCCTTAAGTCTTTTCGGATGTTGAAAAGCAGGCTCCCAAACTGTCGCGAAGCCTTTCTTTGCGGGGCGTGCAGCGAAAAAGCGCAGTCCGTCGTCCAAGAAGCCAAATTGCGGGCATTGCCGTACCCCGCAAGCTTTCACAGAGCCCATGAGCTCTTTGACGTTTTTGCTCTTCTCCGACGGGTCGCCGAGGAGAGGGAACCGGCCCCGGCCATTCAGATCGCCTTGGCCGCCGGGTCGGCCCCCTGTGGGAGAACGGAACGGGGACTGCCGTGGTACCTGCAGCAGACGTCGAGGCACAACCCACTGCAGCTGTTCTTGGAGGGGCTCCAGGCACGATTTTTCTTGGCTCTAGGTCCTTTTCCTTTCGAGCTGCCTGCGAGGCAAACAGCACGTTGGAGGAGCTGGACGTCTCGAGCTGCAGCATGGGCGCCCACCCCGGCCTGATAAGGTTCTGACGGCATACAACACCCAGAGCATCCATGAAGCGAGGTGCCGATTCTGCCTGGGTACTGCAGGAGGCGCTCTGCGGAGGCTGTTTTCGAGTCTCTGGATGTCTTAGGCTTGCTTTGTTAGGCCTTGCGCCGTCATCAGAAGTTGAAGCAGTTACGTCTTTGTGACAATCCATTGGGCGAGCAAGGCGACTCGGCAGCAGGCTCGCTGACCATACAACAAGCCTGATGCCTGGACAGGACTGAGATATGTGCTGCGTCTCATTACGGAGATGGACCAGCACTTGCAAGGTGCGGACTGCAACGCTCCAGGGCTTGAGTGCCTTTCCGTCGTTGAATTTTTGAACTGCAGCAAAGGGCGGTGATGATGGTGGTGGTGTCCCTACCAGCACGCCCGTTACGCAAGTCAGGTGCGGACATCAGTGGCCATCGAGAGTCGGACATCAGATGCCCAGCTGTCGCTCGAAGCACTAGAGAGCAAGTGCCAAGTAACGCTCACATCAAGACTGTTGAACGGGCCATGCAGACTGTTGTGTCCAGGTCAAGTATCGGCACGCCCAACCATCCGGAAATTACAGGCGTGGCTCATCAGATGGTGCAACCTTGTTCATAAGAGTGGTAACAGCACGATCACAGAGAGAGAACCCTACAAACTGGGGTTCGTGGCCATCTGAACGTGGGATCAGAGAGCCAACCAGTGGAGTCACGTTGCGAGGCTCAATCTCGGCCTGCCGACAGACCGTGCGATTCTGCGGATGCTGCTGTGCCACGCCACTCGCCTGTTGCTTTTTTTGAAGTGCCTCCTTGCAAGCCAGATTCCTCCAAGATTTTCCAAGCAAGCCCACTGCAAGGCAGACTCGCACTCTTCCGAGATGCCACATCGTCGCCTGACTGCAGCCGCATCTCCTCCCGCCGAGAGATTCCGAACGTCGCTTGTCATTTGTAAGGCTTCTTGAAGTCCGGGGCCCGAGCTGTCACGACAGGGCCTGCGTTTCCCGAAGCCCTGAACCTGTGGTGTTCTGCAGGTTCGACCCGAAAACGGGCAGGCACCCGTGTTCAGGGTAGGGCCAGGGCCATCAGAGCAGTGTGCAGTGCGACCGGAACGCAGCCTTGAAAATGCAGCTCTGCTGTTTGTGATAGGCCCTCAGTGGAGAAGGACGCGAAGGGGCGTTGGCTGGTCCCCACTGCGGGCTCGTGGAACGTCGGAGCCTCGACCGACGCTTTGGCACTATGTGTTTTTTTTTGCATGCTCTTTCTCAGGTCACGTATGCACCGCCCCTTTCTGAAGCCAGCTACATGCAGTTGAAGGAGAAGCTCAGCTGCTAATAAAGTTGATGCAATACTGTTGCCGCTTCCTCTGTGCTTCGAGTGGCCTCTGTTTCGTCGTTCTTCGTTGGCGTGCTCCCTGTTTTCTCTACACAGGGGTGGCACCGGGCAGTTGAGACTTCAGTGCTCTTTTCACATTTTTTATATGCCATGCCGGAATGGGTGTAGTCCTTCGCAGGTGATTATATGTCCTGCGAAGGGAGGCCGAAGCGAGCGTCCAGTCCAAGGGCCTGACAGTGGAGTCTGCTCACCCGCACGCTGCTGAGCCTGGCGCGCACGAGGGCGAAACAAAAACGAAGGCGACGACCTTCTTCAGTTTCTGTGTCTTTCCGGATTGGTGTATGGACGCTCCCCCTGTTCAGGATCGCGCGGGCCCTCGCGAGACACGTATCACCACACTTTTTTTACTGTCTCTCCGTCTCTCTTTCCCTCCCTCTTTCGCTGCCCATCCATTTAGATTCGATGCATGGTTGCTTGGTTGAAAGTCGATCTGAACTCCTTACATGGGACCTGTTGCAGTACGTTATTGGCCATGAGTCTGGCAGCTGAACCGAGGGCAGCAGCGGAAGACGTGTCCGCACTCCCAGCACAGCACCGCAGAGCAGGTGATAGCAGGCCCAGCTGTGATACCTCTGTGAGGCATAAGCCCGAGATCGAACAGGCGCAGAGCTCCATGGCAGAGGCTCAGGCCCAATCTCCAGTTTGAAAGTATCAGGCGCCTCCTCCGCCAGCGAGCCCTCGGGGCAGATCTCAGGTGCGGGTGCCCGGAATTGCAGCCATCATCAACTCATGTGCCATCATGTGCCCTTGTGCCTCTCCAGGTCGGTCGAGCAAAACTTGATGCTTCAGGCTGCGGCTTGTGCCCGGGGGGAGCTCCCTTGACTCACACCTTGCATCTCGTCTTTGGAAAAGGCGACGATGTGGAAAGCTCAGTTTCGGGAGCTGTGAGAGCCTTTGTCGGTTGCAACGCAGCTCAGGCGCTGTCAATCCCCCAGGCCGGATCTCAGGATGGAGATTGGGGGCACACATCGAAAGCCAATGGTGCTGGATCTGCAGACATTGCGATTGGAAAGGGCGACAGCCTGGCTACCAGGTGCCGCCGATGTCTCATGGTACTGGGCACCACGGCTCTGTCGCCAACGTCATGGAAGGCCGTTCTGAAGAGATCCCCTTGAAAGACGCAGCGTTCTGCTTTTTTGCAGGGCCCCAAGCCCAAGTGGAGAAGGAGAAGCAGCGAGTGGTCCTTGCTCCAGGGCTCCCAGGCGCCAAGCGAGAGATCCCTCTGCTGAGACTTTCCGGGGCCTGGGCAGGCACACCGGAGGGAGATTGGATGGAAGTGCACGACCTGATCCAGGACCGAGGGCCTTCAGTCTTGCGGTTTCCGCAGAGTCCAACTTGGCGTCCAAGAGACGAGTCTTCTGCCTAAATGGTGCGAGGACTGCCGTGCTAAGGCTCGATGTGCTGGTTCCAGCCTGGCAGTGCTTCTTTAGGCCGACCAAAACCGTAACGGGCCCAACAGTCTGCCATAGCAGTTCAAGAACGCAAGTAATGTAAATCTATCGTAAAGCCTGGCCCTGCTGGTATCGACGCGGTGTGTTTTTGACGAGTTGACACAACAGCAAGTGCCTACATGTGCCTACGTCGAGCTGTTAGTAGGTCCCAGTGCATGGAGTGATGCTACACGGGCCATTGGCCGGGGAGGGTTAAAGCTAGGTTGGTGGCCTCATGTGGCGTATGAACGGGAGGTCAGGGCCCCTGCCTTCAACCTCTTCAAGCAAGCCCTTACGGTGATGGTGACGGATGAGGAGCTCCAATCGCCCGTGACAGTGGCAGGGAGCCCGGGACTTTGCCAGGAACGCCTCCGCTTCGCAAGGGCCTTGGGGAAGGAGCTTTGGTTTACCGAGGCACAGGCAGGGCAGCCACGCATGCAACGAAACGGATGTGAAGTCAGTTGAGGTCAGCACTTAGAAAGGGAAGTCTCGCCGCAGCCCTCGGGAGGTCAAAGTCTTGACAGAGACCAGCGCTGTCCAGGGCTTCGAGGGTCCGGGGAGAGCTCGTGCAGAAAGACACGGAACCTGCTCAGAGTACCGCGGAGATGGCCATGCCGACACTGCCCCGAAGTACACAAAAGCTTGTGGACCATGCCGGAAAGATGTGTGCACATCGGCTTCCGAGGAAATGGCAGTACAACTCGTGCCTTGATTGCCATTATTAGTTATAGTCATGAAAGGATATCGTCAGCATCGGTCCGGCTCCATGCGTCAGCATGCTCGCCTCGAGCCGCAAAGCACAGATTGGGAGCATCAGGCGCAGAAGGCTCTGGCTCTTCGTGGCTCATGCTCCATACGCTCCCTGCTTTCCTTCAGGTGTGCTTCTTGTTTCCAGCGCTGCGAAGTCCGGAACTCGGCAGGATGGAGTTCCATTGTCCCTACCAGCTTTGTGCAGCTTCGTCTGAACCTGTGCCGGTCATAGAATGCGTCCCTTTTGTTCTGTCGTAGAGGCCGGAGGTTCCAGTTGGCACTCGTGCAGCAGATCACAGAGCCCTCGAAGATGACAAAGGCTTCTCCAGCTGGAGCTTCTGCTCTCGCACGTCATCGCACGTCGCGCCGCCTCGGACTCGAGACCTGGATCAGGTATGCGACTCGGTCCGTCATCTGCTTTGGTTCCAGGACACCAACCCCACTGGCAGACACTTGGTGGCAGGAGCTTCGATTCTTTGCCACTGCAGACATTTTTCCGAGAAGAAGTTCTCCCACATGCTCTGACGGTGCCGAGGTTACAATCTGGACTTGTCTACTCCAGTTGACTACGCCCTGGCAGCATCCCGTCACATACGGACTCGCACGGCTCAAGAATGTTTGTGACGATTTCGCGGGGTCTGACAAGGAATGCTGCCTTCTCGTGAATGCCTGGGAGTCCGAGTCTGCCAGATGCGTTGCTAAGCTGTGACTTTTCATTTTGTTTTGAGGTTGCTCAGTTTAAAGCCATCGAGAGCTTGGAATTCCTCCTGTCCTTGGAAGGCTGGTCGTCCGGACCTTTCACAATCAGGAGCCATGAGCCGAATGTCCCGTTCGCCCATCGCCATCGATCGTTTCAAGACTGTGCCTTTTCCGACTCGGCCGTACTGCCGTTGCGATGCGAAGTTTCTGCACCAGGAAACTTTGAGATGATACGCAATGAGGCACCCACATCGAGCCTTCGGCTGCTCTGCACCTGAGTTAGTGTCGCCCCACAGGCCTACAATGATGTCCCGTTCGTGTACTCCAAGGCAGGCGTTTCTTCTGAGAGGGAGTGTTGGGGTGATGGCAGAGTTGACGCAAATTGTGTGTCAGGACTGGTTGCTGCCGTCGTCTGGCTGGTTTCGCTTTGAATACTCATCAACGAGACGCCCTCCTCCAGATGCAACAACCATGAACGAGGTTTCGGAGTCTTGGCTGCTCTCTGTCTGGCACTCCCAGATTTTCTCAAAGCTCGTAGCGGGTGGCAGCTGACTTCCAAGGAGATTACCCGTCTCTTGAGGAACAAGGCCTTTGCCTGGCTGCGCCTTTGTGCATAAAATCGGGGGTTCTATCTTGGCAGAAGGCTGCAGATGGTAGCGGAGACCAGGGACTTTGGGCAGATGACGTCGTCTTCGTGTGCTAGGGGCCACGAGAGCTGGCGCAGTCCCAAGCCCCCAAAGAGACCGTAAATGAAATATAAGCAGAGCATAAGCCACCTGTGGGCACCCTTCGTAGGTGCAAAAGCCCGAAAGCAGGACCTCAGCAGCCAGTCGCAGCTGCAGGCCCTGAGAGCAGCCTCAGACGCTCGGACCGACCGAAGTCAGAAGTCTCGTTTCTCTTCGGATCCATTCTACGCTCGGCTTGGACCAGCATAAGCTGCGTCAAAGGGTGGTCGGGAGTCTAGCTCCGAAAAGCCCAGGTGCACCTGTTCATCTCCAGTAACCAATGTAGAGCCTTGGTCCAGTGCGGGACTTACGTGCTGACGATGCTAGCCGATGCTGTGGTCCCAGGCTTGTGTTTTGCAATGGTGGAGATGGTGCTGTCGGGAAGTCGGCCGAGGTGCTTCCCATCTGCACCAGAATCGTCGTTGCGTGCTCGGTCACAGTGAATCAAGTCTGTAGTGCAAACTGCGCAGACCTGCGGTGTAAGCTTCGCAAGGTCGCAAGATGCTGTGAACAGTGGGACAGACGAGTCGCCAGATCGACAAGAAGCCTTTTGTATTCTGCACACTCGCGTGGTGGACCGAGAGCGCCGCTCGCCTGAACGAAGTTGCATAACGGGAAACAGCCGTCGCCCGTCGCCGCAGTTCCCGCATGGTTCGGAAATGCAAGATTCAGGTCTGCTGGGTCCCGAAGTGGTATATTCACCGCGGCGCCCTGAGACGTGGCGAAGAAACTTTTCCGTGGAAAGGGACACGTCCTGTAAACTCGCCTCATGCGCCAAGGGTTGTTGTGCAGCAGATCGGCATGGGCCACCGTGGGACCTCTGTGTTGGTCAGAGGAGGCATGTTCAAGACTGGCGAGCTGGAGATGAAGAGTGCGGAGGCGTCGCTTGTATGAATCATGGACAGCTTCCCAACAGTCTGTTTCGACTGACGAATCGCATTTGCCGCTTCTCGGTGCTCGCTCTGCATGTTTTGCGTGCGTCTTCTCTCGCCCTGTAGCAGTCGTAATCTAAGGCAGATCCCTACTTCGGCTCCTGCCTCGAGCCAGTGATGGTCGGTAGGTTTGCTTGAGCATGACTCGAGGTGGCCACTGCCCTGCAGGGTGCGCCGTTGGCTGAGCCATCTCGCCAAAGCTTCCGTGCATGCACACCTCTTGCGAGTGATGGAGAGCCGAGGCACGGCTCGAAAAAAACAGCTGGGCCATCGGCCTGAGACGTCATGCGCAGTGCAAAGCTTTTGCTGTGCAGCACTCTCAGGGGCAGACGGGGAGGTTTGGCCATTGATCAGAACCCGCCAGCATCCCAGACAGGATGTTGCTGAAGACGAGCGGTAATCGGTTCGCTCAAGGCTTTCCGCTTACTACAACTTTCTCATCGTCTTCAAAGACTGCGGGTTTTGTACGGAAGCCTCGTGTCAGCGAAGATCTTGAGTTTCCGTTTCCGTCTAGTGACAGTGAACATGACCAATGCCGTTTGTTGTGTTGTCATGGTTTTGATTTGAACAGCTTCCCATGCTTTCCCCATACATGTAGGTACACTTTCAACTCGATGCCTCGGCGCCGTAACGGCGGTGATGGTATCATGATTTAGACTAGTGAATGTGCGTATAATCATACGTGTTTTTGGAAACGATGCCCGTACGTGGCCGTGCGTTCAGACACATTTCGGACCGGGGTGGGGGGGTGGGTGGGTGTGTGGGTGGGTGGGGGTGGGTGGGT